TAACTACACACTTCTGGAAGTTTTGTTATCTATTGCTGTCAAATAGTCACCTATTATGTTGTAACCCCAAAACTTGGTGGAGTAGCTCAGTTTGACATTTCTAGCTTAGATTCTTTTATAGGTTTACAATTAAGGTGCTAATAGGGTGCAGTCATCTGATGGTTGGCTCAGGCAACCTGCTTCCAGGGTGACTCTTTCAAGGCTGTTTCAGCCTGTTCTTTACTGGATATTAGTTTTAAGGGGCTCACTTTTTGGCTGCTCAAGGTTCTTCCTGGCAAGGTATTTGGTTTCCTCAGAGTGTGCCTGGAGGAAGACTTTTTACATAACCCTCATCTCAGAAAGGTTAGACTGTCACTTCTTCCTTATTCTATTAAAAGTGAAAATTAGGGGGCTGGGGAGATGGCTCAGCTGTTAAGTGCACTGGCAGCTCTTGCAGAGGACCTGGGTTTGGTTCCCAGCACCTGCCCCATGGTGAAGAGCAAACTTCCTTAACTCCTGTTCCAGGGGATCTGCTGCCCTCTTCTGACCTCTGAGGACATTGCACAACTGATGTACTTACGTGCAGACAAAACACTCATAACTCATAAAAATAACTTTTAAGTGAAAGTCACAGCCCATAGTTGGAGAACTTATTGCTGTCATTTGAAGGAGGATATAACCAAGGATTTCTGATCTTCAGTGCTTCCCAAAGTTCCCAGTTATATCTGATTTCTGCTTCCAAGTTGGATAAACATACCTTCAAGAATCAGTCAAAACATCTTGGGCTGGAGAGATGGCTCAGCAGTTGAGTGCTGACCCTGGTTTGATTCCCAGCACCCACATGGTGGCTACAAACCGTCCTTAACTCCAGTTTGAGGGGAATCCAAAGCCCTCTTCTGGCCTTGGTGGTGTTGCATGACACGGGTGCACTCACATACAAACATGCACTCACATACATACACATAAAAATAAAATATTAAAAAATCTGCCGAAATAGCTCCTGGAAATGGGCAAGGTACTTGGCTTTCCCATGCAATAAGCCTACCGAGAGAGCATTATTTAGAATTCAGAGTTTATAAATGATCAGAAATCCCCACTACTAGGATATGTTTTCCTAAACTGTGACCTTATGGAAACCAAGAAAAAGATTACCCACAAACAAAAGGCTTATATCACATAGGGCACATAAGTACCCCCAGGTAAGTGTAACTGTCATCCATTTTGTGGTAAACCACCACAGAGCTTAGTTTCTGACACTTGCTCACAGATGCTCAATTTGGGCAGGGTTGAGCAAGCCTAACTCTGCTTCCACTATGGTGTGCCTGGGGTAGTTTTCATGTGGCTGCATTCAGCTGGGGAGCTCTACTGAAATAGAATGTCCCGTGTGGCCCACCTTACCCCTATAATCCTTTTGTTAGCCTGGCCAGAACAGCTGATGATTCAGTTGGTAGGGTGCTTTCTAGCACTCCGGAAGCTCTGGGTTGGCTCCCCAGTGCCATATAAATTAGGTGTGGTTGTGCATGCCTGTAATTCTATCCTGGATGCAGGAGGATCAGAAATTCAAAGTCATTTTCGACTATGTAGAAAATTGGAGGCCAGCCTGGGATACATGAGATCCTATCTCAAATAAATTAATCACTGTAATATAAATCATGACTCATTGTTCCATACACTTTCCTTTAGAGATGCGTTCTCATTGTGTAGTAAAGCTAGTGCTGAAATCTGAGCTTGGGGGATCCTGCCTTAGCCTCCTGAGTAGCCTGAATTGTAGGCATGTACCATAGTACAAACTTATGAACACATTTATCACCCGATCCCAAACCAAAGCTTCCAGGAGAAAACGATTTGTCAGTCTGTGGTGTTAAGAATAATGACCAGAGTCAGTGAGGGAACTTCAATTTTCTGCAGCTGATATATTTTGAGAAAAATTAATGGGATGGAAATAGCTGTTTCCGGTCATTTGCTCCCCATGTCCTTGCATAATTTAGAGTGAGGGGAAACTGCATGTGCCTGCCTGCTTTTCAGGTGGGACTCTTGGCTTCTCCTGGCTTTAGAAGCAGATTGGACGTTCCAAATTCTCTACAGCCAACAGTAATTATGATAATTTGAGGAACTAAGTCCTAATCAGTTAGCTCAGGCTCTTCAACTTCAGTGCGTGTTATTTCCCACGTAAAAGAGAAGCGTGCTAAACGAGAGTGGTGGGCAAGCTACTTTGAGGCTTACATGGTGAGGGAACTTTTTTTCACATTGGAGCATCGAACTTCTTTCTGTTGCTTTTGCTGTTTTGCTCTACTTTTTTCTCCTGTGCTGGGGACCACATTCCGGGCCTTGCACAAGCACCACACCACTAAGCAACACTCCTCACCACAAGTCCTCTTTTTCAGTCTTGATCACCACTGTCTTTTTTCCCTATAGGTCAACACTATAGTTCGTCTTTGTTTGGACCTTTTTCATCTCACCATTCTCTTAACGACTCACACCTTGTTTTTCATTTTACAATCTTGTACACATCCTACAGTCATTTATTTGATAAATCTTATTGGCCCTGATATCAAAGGATGTGCTAGGTGATGAATCCGGAGACACACCTGGCTTTTAGCTGGAGTTAAGGACAGCTGTTACCTGCCCTCTGGGTGCTGAGAACCGAACCCAAGTCCTCTGTAAGAGCAGCCGCTGAGCCATCTCTACAGTCTCGGAACCTCAGTTTTGTAGTAAAGCCCACAATGATTCGCAACCACATTACACACTGGAGCTGGCCAGTTTCACTACCCAAGCTAAAACTACCCAACTAGACATTTCCGGAGGAGGAACCAAGGTCAGAAATGGCATTTCCGGGATGTTTCCTAGCGCCCATTTCCGCCCGCCTAGGATAAACTTCGAAAAAAACATCCATTCGTATGTGAAATTTTTTTTTTTGTCAAAATTCAGAGCTTTTACAATGGGGGAAAAAAAGTTTTTTAAATCTCAGGGGCTGGAGGTAAAAAAATAAAACTACGAGCAAACAAGAAAACAAACAGAAACCACCACTTGGTGGTTGCCGTGACAACCAAATAACGCAACCTATCACCGTGCGGTAAAGCCTCCAGGCCCGGCCATTGAGGAGCGCTCACCGTGCGTGCGGCTGTCCAATGGGGCGCGAGCGGCGCGGTATTTGAATCCTACTCCGGGCCCGGCGCGGATCCGCGGCGAAGCCGAGTGTAGCCCAACGGCGCAGCGCTCGTCCCTGCGTTCCGTCTGCCAAGTCCCGGGCCCGGCGCTGCTGCCTCCCCGGGCCTCATGGCGCTGCTGCGACGCCCGACGGTGAGTGCGCCCGGGCCCCGGCGGCTTGCGCCGCCTCCCTCACTGCGGCAGCCCGAGGCCTTACCGGTTTCCCCGCCGGCCGTAGGCCTCCGCCGGCGGGAGACGCTCACGGAAGTCCCGGGGAGGCGGCTCTGACTGCTCGGTCCCTGGACAACTGTCCAGTGGCAGGGGCTCGGGATCTCCCGCCCCTGACCCTCCGAGTCTTCCCTGGCTCGGGGTGGGGTGGGGAGGACTGGGAGGAACTAGGAGTTCGGTTTCTTATTTTTTAAATACAAAGTAAGCATCGCCGCATTTCAGATTTTTCTCATTTTTGCTTAGTGTGTTTTCCATTCAGGTCTGCATCTCCTTTTTAACAAAACAAAACCCCGAAGAGTCATAGAAAAAGTACATTTAACTTGTCTTGCAGTCGGAGAGAGGAAGATCCAGATTCCTTATCTTTGCAAGAATCAAAGTATTATTGGCTTTTCCAAGTTTTCCTTGTGAGCTTGAATTGTGCTCGGATCCGCTTTCCCTTTGTTGAAAACACAGCTGACGTCCATTGTCCTGACTACCGGGCTCCTTAAAAGCTGCCCATTTGCCTCCCACATGAATTTAAACTTAGTCACATTACCAGGCTTCAAGGCATAAAGCATAAAACTTTCAAGCATTTCTTAAAAATTGGCAGTTGATGTTGGAAAAAAAGTTGAACAGTGTGACTTTTGAGATCAGAATCCTAAATACATCCAGGGTTCATGTTTTCTTATAGATCTAAGACTAACAAGGAACTTTTCTCTAATTGATCTTATCAAGTTAATATTTACACTCTTTCTATTCGGTGGGGTTTCTATTGTTTTGGTTTTGCTTTGTGATTAGTCAACTTAAACCCTCTGTTGGGAGTTTTCTTAGAAGTAGGACCCCCATTCTCAAGAGAAAAGAGAAATTAAAAGTTTTTTTTCCTCATTAAATATTTATCACTTTTACAACAAAGTAAACCTTTTGGTATGAATTGCTTTTCCTAGTAAATTTTTTGTTATATTCTAGATAAAGCCAGTTAAGGTCAACTGACATTTTTTTCTTTCTCATACAGTTTGAACCTCCCCAAATTTGATAGTTGAAACTATTTTCTACTCATGCTATTTTCATTCTGAATATCCTTAACAGTTTGCCTTGGGGGAGGGAGGGCAGTGTTTCTGAAAGATCATTGTTGGTGGAGCCATTTTTATATGTATGAGTGGATTGCCTGCATGTTTGTAAGTGCACCCATGTCCTGCAGTGCCTACGGAGGTCAGAAGAGGGTGTGGGATCCCCTGGAACTGGAGTTGGTGGACGGTTTTTAGCAGTCATGTGAATGATGGGAACCAAACCTGGGTCCTCTAGAAGAGCAGCTGGTGCTCTAACCACTGAACCATTGCTCCAGCTCTCAGGAGCCATTTCTTATTCCAGGAATGGAATAATCAAGGCTAGTGTAGGTTTACAACAACCTCACCCATCATTAACTATTGATATCATAGCTCTTTAAATTTACATTATGTATATACTCTGTAAAGAGAAGTTTTAACTAAACAATATATTTTTCTTCTGTGTAGTCCTGGCTGGCATCCAGCTCACAGAGATCCACTTGCCTCTGTCCCTGGAGGGCTGGGTTTAAAGGTGTGACTTTGATATTTCTGAAAACTAATCATTTAGTTGTGAAACTTTGCCATTCTGAACATGCAAAATAGTTTAAGAATAGAGGGAGAATCTCAATTACATAAGTAAGATGAGTGGGTGATTTGCCGAATTTAGAGTGATAGCAAAATCAGCATTTTTTAGATCTCCTAAAAATGTCTCTTTATCCTTTCTAGCAGTAGATTTAAGCATATTCACTTTTCCAAAGTAGTTCTAAATTTGAATCTCTGATGTAGATAAGTATTTTACGCAGTGTCAATGTTTTACCCTGGTTGTTGTTGTTGTTGTTATTGTTGTTAGTAGTGGTGTTTGTTCTTTCTTTAGGTGTCCAGTGATTTGGAGAATATTGACACAGGAATTAATCCTAAAGCTAAGAGCCATGTAACAGTCCGGCGGGCAGTTTTAGAAGAAATTGGAAATAAAGTCAGAACTAAAACAGCTCAAGTAGCTAAGGTAACAATGGCAAGGTGACATGTGCAAGAGAGGCCGATTCTGTGGAGCGCCGGTTCTGTGGAGCGCTGGTAGCTACACTGGCTGTCTTGCCCTGCTCACGTTTCTTTTTCCTTGTAGAAAGCTCAGAACACCAAAGTACCAGTTCAACCCACCAAAGCAACAAATGTCAATAAACAACTGAAACCTACGGCTTCTGTGAAACCAGTCCAGATGGAAATGTTGGCTCCAAAGGTAGGATGTTCTGAGCTTTAAGCACACACACTGGAATAACCTGATTTTAGCCGGTCTGCAGGGTCCTTTGCATTGCAGCCACCGAAGAACATTCACAGCTGGACCTCTGCTTTGAAGCGACAGTGCAGGAGATGAATGTATATGCTTCTGTTTTTAGTTTGCATTCCTTAATGTAATGTTATAGCATTGAATTAATTTTAGATTGCCTTAGTGATCCCACAGTGAAGTTTGGTGGGTTTTATTAAAATACTGTACATATGACCATCCTTAAAACTGGCAGTCCACAGTTCTGAGTCTGAAACTCATGTAAGTATAAGATAATACCACAATTCTGTGTTGGTAAAGTGTGGTCTCTGTGACTGGAAGCTCAACTGGCAATAGAATGATAAGGGGCTCACTGGCTTATGCATTTTCCACCAAGTTCAATTTCGTGCGTGTTCTCATTCATTACATAATAAGTACGAGCTAGGCATTGTTGTGATAAGAAATATCAACCACTTCACTCTTTCTAGCTTAATATATTTATAATATATCTATATGCTTGAAACTTCAAAATGAAGCATTAGATAAATTTGAGAAACATTTATATTGAGCTCTTCTGTACTTATCCAGCTGTGTTGAGGCTTCTAAAGACATATGTCTCAGAAGACATATCTAGAAAGAACATATGTTCCTGGAAACAACATTAGTAATCTTAGGGAGTGTCATTAGATAACTTTGGGTGCTGTGTGCCTGTCAGATGATTGGGGAGTCCTCAGGGCTAGGCTAACTTTGTCCTTCAGTGATGAGTCATGTGTGTGTGTGTGTGTGTGTGTGTGTGTGTAGGTCAGGGAACAACCTAAGATTCTGTTCCTCAGGTGCCATCTACGTTTTTTTTTTTTAAGACTTATTTTTATTTCATAAGTGTTTTGCCTGCATATATGTATACATGTGCACGCATTACCCACAAAGGTTTAGAAGAGGGTGTCTGATCCCCTGGAATTGTAGGTAGAGACAGCTGTGAGCTGCCATTTGGATACTGGGAACCTAACCCAGGTCTTCTGTAATAATCTTAACCTCTGAGCCGTCTCTGCAGCCCCTCACTTTAATTTTTTGAGACAGGGTCTCTCACTGGCCTGGATTTGGCCACTGAGCCCTGCCAGTCCCTGACTGTCCATAACTGGGATTCCAAACATGTGCTACCCCTCCTAGCTTTTTTCTGACTTGTGTTCTGGGGATCAGACTGAGGTCCACGTGTTTACAAGCCACCTTCCTACCCTTCCATGGTAATACTTCAGGATAGAAAGAACTTGATAGAACCTTAGGGATCAAGGCAGCAACAAGAATCAAGGCACAGAAATGGAAACAGGCCTGTAGATTATCATGTTTGTTTTTTTGGTCTTTTTGAGACACGGTCTCCCTGTAGCCCCAGCTGTCCTGGAACTTACTATGTAGACCAGGCTGGTCTTGAACTCACAGAGATACACCTGCCTCTGCCTCCCAAGAGCTGGGATTAAAGGTGTGCGCCACCACGCCCGGCCAATAATCATGTCTTCTAATCAAGAAGTCTACCTGCCTACAGAGTCAGTGACTTGTCTGAGGAAGCAAAGGTAAGACTGGGAAGAAGGCTGCAGTTGGATTTATAGATCTTGGGATCTAGATTTGTCCCCCTGGCAAGTGAGGAAACTAAAAGGTTTTGAGGAGCAGTGAGAGCAATATTTAGTGTTGCAGTTGTCCAAGCAGGAGCTGAGGAAGGCCTGAACTCTCCCCATGTCCCCCAGGCACGCACTTACCACATCCCAGTATCTATATAAAGTGCTAAGAAATAACATGGAATGTGTCAGGACTTACCAGAACTCTGTTCGGGGACATTATCCTATACTGAGAAAAAATATGTCACATGCATAGCTTGTAGAAGAGTGAAAATGTTTTGTTCCTGGGTACTAAAAACAAATTAACAAAAACATAGGAAAGTCAGGACAGGGAGAGGGGTTTGACTTGAGGTTTGTTGAGGTCACAGGGAAGTCCACCTAAAGGTGCAATTGGGAATATCCCCCACAACAGACAGGACTTAGGAGCAAAGACTCAATATGACTTTAGTGACATGAAACCTGAACTAAACAGAATTTCAGCCCTTGATCTCTGGTCCTCTGTGCAGGACCAGAGTATGTGGTGACTGTTTGAATGTGGTTCTCCCACATCGCAGAGGGCAGTTGGGCAGTATATTTCAGATGTTTATTCTCCATACTCAGCCCGGCTTCACAGTTTATCTAAAGTAAATGGTGAGAGGGATAGCCAAGGTCTATTTATAGTGCTGTGATGAATCTTTCTCCCTTTTTTCTTTTTCTTGAAGACAGGATCTCATGTAACCCAGGCTGGCCTCAAACTATATATAGCCTAGGGTGACCCTGGACTTATGATCCTCCTGCCTTTACCTTCCTAGTTCTGGGATTACAGGTATGCACTACCCTTCCTAGTTTGTGCTGTTGGGGATCAAACCCAGGGCCTGATGTATGTTTGGCAAGCATTCTACCAACTGAGCCCCATCTGCAGCCTACTCAAGCTTTCTCTTGAAAATTGCATTTGCGTATGTGTGTGAGGGCACATGTGGAGGTCAGAGGACAACTTGTGGGAGTTGCTTCTTTCCTTTCCCCCAGGTGGGTCCTGGGAATCAAACTGAAGTTGTCAGACTTGGCAGCAAGTGTATTTACCTATTGAGCCATCTCTCTGGCCCTCTCTTTTTTCAAGGTAGAGTCTCACATTTTAACTCAGGCTGGCCTCAAACTCAAAGGAGTCCTCCTGCCCTCACCTCCCCAGTGCCAGGATTGTAGGCATGTGCTACTGCCGTGCCAGCCAAGGAGTATCTCCTGTGTGACAGAAAAACAGCCTCAACTGCAAGGTTTGTTAAATGTAGTTCATGAAATACTGTGCATCCATAAAGATGAATTAGTCCAGCATTTAAAGATGTCAAAATATTTGTGATTTTATGGGGGAAAATCAGATTAACACAGTATATACAGTGCAAAATCAGATTTGCTCTTAAAAGTATACACTTATATGCAAAATATTGCTGGTAGTTTTATTTTTGAGCATTTATTTTCATTCTCCTAAAAGTTCCAGGCTTTGGGGGCAAGCAATGTAGCTCAGTTGGTAGAGTGCTTGCCTAGCATTCATGAAGCCCTAGGTTTGAGGCCCAGCACTGCATAAACTGGACGTGGTGGGACATACCTGCAATCCTAGCATTGGGCTGGTAGAGGCAGGGAGATCAAAGTTCAAGGTCATTTTTGGTTATATAGCAAGTTTGAGGCTAACCTGGTATACATGACTATATGTATATATATCTCCAGTGGGAGCTGGAGAGATGGCTCAGTGGTTAAGAGCACTGGCTATTCTTGCAGAGGACCTGGTTTCTGTTCCCAGCACCCACATGGTGGCTAAGAACCATCCACAACTCCAGTTCTGGGTGATCTGATACCCTCTTCTGACCTCCACGGGCATTGCATGACATGGGTGCACTTATATACATGCAGATGATACACTCATACACATAAAATAAAAATAATAAATATAAAAATAAAAGCAAAAAAGCCCTCAGACTTTCACTGTAGGTATAAAACTGAATCAAAGGAGAAGAAAGGCAGCTGTCTGTTATTTTGCAAGACTGAAGGGTATTTCAGCTGTAAGAGGCCCTGGGTTCAATCCTCAACATTGAAAACAAAAATCAAAAAGAAAGGAAAAGCTCTGCTTTCCTGTGACCTTAAAAGCTACTCCTTCATGGATTTCCTTTATTCTGTACCTGACTTGTTTTTCTCTGCCTCCTCACAAAATTGAGGTTGGTCTGTTTCAGACGAAATGTTATGGGCTGGGAACTCAGTCCATATAAAAATCACTTTTGGGGAATAGAGATGACTCAGTGGTTAAGAGTACATACTGCTTTTTCAGAGGACCCAGCTTTAGTTCCCAGCACCTACATAGTGGCGCACAGCCAGTGGTTAACTCCAGTTCCAGGGGATCTAATGTCCTCTTCTGGCTTCTGCAGGTACTGCAAACACATACATGCATGCAGGCAGGCAGGCATAGCATTCATACATTAAAAACAAATCTTTGAATCTTAAATCACTTTTGGTTAAAAGATATGCTGGATGTTCTTTTAGAAGTCACCAAGGATTAAAGAATAGTTACTTCCAAATCACATCCACTTGTCTCAGAACCATAGTGGAGTCCCCACTCTCACAGGGACCCTCTATGAGTCTGGCTCTTGGTTTTGCTTTATCACTTGCAATCTCTGCTGCCCCTTTGCAGCCAGTTTCTAGAGTTATACACATGCCAGGTGAGCATATGGGTTCTAGTGGGAATTCTTGTGTCCATGGAGGCAGATGTTCTGGAATTCTTGTCCTAGAAGGCAAGCTTCTTGCTCTGTAGCAGATGAGGCAACTGAGTCCCAAATGGCCCTGGCTGGGACTTAGAAGAATTGCAGGTATTCACCCCAGTTATCACCCTACCTTTTGGGGAGTAAAGAGTATAAATTAGTGGCTACTGGGGCCTTGATAAACACTGAGTAGTATGAAAGGAAGAAGGGTATTTGCACAGGGTAAGCAAGGTCCACTAGGTAGCTCCTAGTCAGATTGAGAAGACCTGGGTTCCATCCCCAGCATCATAGAATCCAGGTGGGGTGGTGCATTGGGGAAGTGGGGGCAGGGGGGATCAGGAACTGAAGGTCTTGGAGTCTAAGGTCATCCCAAGCTACATGAGAATCTGTCTCAAAAGAAAAAAATTGCAACTGAAAAGAAAATAAGCATAGCCGTTCACATGTTTTATGGAAGGATAAACTTTTATTTTTAAATTTCATAAACAGTAGAACAACAAAGCAATACAGAAGCACACAGCACAGAGACCAGAAGTTGAGCTCATAGTCACTGCCTCGCCGTTTAAAGTGTATTGCATTCCTGAAGCTGATGATGGTAACCCACTCTGCCTCTGCCTGTGTATGCAGGGGCACTTGTAACAAGTCATCAACTACCTGCCCACAGTCAGAGTCCTTCTTGGCATCCTTCCTTGTTTACCCTAAATATCGTAAATTGCTGGGTGTGGTGGTACAGGCCTGGAGCCCAGCACTAAGAAGGCTGAGGCAGGAGGATTCCAAGTTCAAGGACAGTGTGGGCTACTTAGTTCTTGGCAAGTCTGGTGCTACATTAGCAAGACCCTGTGTCAGAAAACAAAACACGAAAACACGTACGTGAACCATTATATCAAAATTTTAACACTTACATTTTGCATCATCTTGACAGTTTTAATGTCAAAAAACTTGAGTAGCCTCCCTCACTCCCAGTCTTCTACCTTTTCAAATAGGAGTGTCTTACGTTTAGTCAAATGGCACATCTTTAGTTCCTGATTGAATGTCTCAGTTGTCTCCAACAGCCCATAGACTTATTCATTACTCTAGTTTGAAGTTTTTATTTGTATACAACTTAGGTTGTTGTTATTATTTGGTCTTTTTGGGTCTCCCTGTAGTCCCAGCTGGCCTGGAACTTGCTATGTAGACCAGGCTGGCCTTGATCTCATGGAGCTCCACCTTCCTCTGCCTCCTGAAATCTGGGATTAAAGGCATGTGGTACCATGCCTGGCTAAATACTGTTTTTAATCATCAATTTAAATTTTTGCTTTTTTTTTTGGTCTTTTTGAAATAGGGTCTCCCTGTAGCCCCAGCTCCTAAAGTTTATTTTATGTGTATGAATGTTCATGCCTGCATGTATGTAAGTACACCTGTGTCATGCAGTGCCTGTGGAGAATTGGATTTCCTAGAACTGGACTTACATAGAACTGTTAGCTGCCATGTGGGTACTGGGATTTGAACCCAGGCCTTCTGCAAGCACAACTAGTTCTAACTAAATTATGTTGGAGTCCAAATTGTGTGGTTTCAAGTGTTCTAAGAGCCAGAACCAGTATCCTTGTCTTATCCCCATGGCTCAGGTGTGCTTCTCAACAGGGCACAGATAAGCATTCTGAACCACTGAGATGACTCATGACACACAGGACAACTCTCATGACAACTCTCACTCCTAAAACTCGACCCCAGCTACTGCCTGCCTTTATGGGGATGGCTTGGTAATGCTTACCCTTAAAAAAGCTCATCTTGGCAAAAGCTGCCTATGCTGATCAAAATCCATGCCTGAATCTAGTTAGTCTTGCTGAGTTCCTCCAGTGGCTGTGGCTGGCTAGTCCTCTCTGCCTTATCTAGACCATGTTCCCATCCCCAGTCACCTTTGCTCCCAGGCTGGTCTTTGTTTGCTACCTGTCCTCTGCTTCTTCGACTTATTTTCCTGCTGCATTGGCATCTTCCTCCTGGCCTTCCCCTCTGTCAGGGTACCACATAGTTCTCTTACTTATTCTAGTCCCCTGAGGTTTACAAATTCAGAATAAATGGCAAGCATACCTGCTAACCTATCACTTCCTTCTTACTAGCTTAAGAGGCCAGTGCATGCTTTGAACCTACCCTCCATCCTCTTGTTTCTTCCTCTACGACTAGAAATTATTAATCTTCAATGTAAACTGAAATTGTTTAATTGGTATGGATTTTGTTTTCTTTTTTAAATATTTTTATTTTCTGTGTATGAGTATATTGCCTTCATTGTGTGTAAGTGCACCAGTTTTGTGCAACGCCCAGGGAAGTCAGAAGAAGGCATTGGGTTCCCCTGGAACTGGAATTATGGGCGGTTATTAGTCACCATGTGCTAGGAATTGAACCCGGGTCCTCTGCAAGAGCAGCCAGTGCTCTTAACCACTGAGCCATCTCTCCAGCCCTGATTCTTTGATTTTTTCTTTTGTTTTGTTTTGAGGCAGGGTCTCACTCTTACCCATGCTGGCCTCCAACTCATAGCCATCCTCCTATCTCAGTCTCCCAAATACTGAGACAACAGGTATGAGCCACCACATCAGTTTTGTCATCCATTTTATTGTATAAGCTTTTCTGTTCAATTATATTTTATTCCATTATTACATACTCTTTATAGACGGGAAGTCCTGTTAGGTTTTACTTTGAAAAGTGCCTCTTATTCTTTTTTAACTGATGGCTTTTTTTGTTTTTTTTTTTAAATTTTATGTGTATGCATGTATTGCCTGCATGTAGGTTAAGTGCACCCATGTCGTGCAATGCCCATGGAGGTCAGAAGAGGCTGTCAGATCCCCTGGGACTGGAGTTACAGACAGTTGTTAGCTGCCATGTGGGTGCTGGGATTTGAACCGGGGTCTTCTGCGGGAACAACCAGTGTTCTCAACCGCTGAGCCATCTCTCCAGCCCCAGTCAACTGATGGTTTATTTATGCTTCATTATTAAATATTTGTTTTAAGTGTATAAATTTTTAATTTGTGTGATTTCTATAAATAACTACTCAGTCAGTGTGAGTAAAATACAGAGCCTTATCCTTGCTAAGTCTTTGCTTCCTCCTCCTACTTTATTCATAGAGTGGAATGTGCTTTTCTGCTTCTAGTTGCCAGTTTCTTAATTTAGAATGAATTAGGGGAACAGAAGAAAACACTTGCAGAAGAGGCCACCACTGAAGTGGTTCCTGTAATCCCAGAACACAGGTGTTCAAACCGCTGTCATTTATTGAGTGCCTACTGTGTGAGGGTCACTGTGGATGTGAACAAAGTTGAGTAAATGAATGTAAGCCTACACAGCCGTAGACAGAAAATAACACACAGTATGTAGAGCAAAGTGTGTGGTATTACTTAGTAGATTCTATGGGAAAATTCAGTAACAATAGTGCTTCACTTCATTGGCACAGGATCCTTCTCCTACCCCGGAGGATGTCTCCATGAAGGAAGAGAACCTTTGCCAAGCTTTCTCTGATGCTTTGCTCTGCAAAATTGAGGATATTGATAACGAAGACTGGGAGAACCCTCAGCTCTGCAGTGACTATGTCAAGGACATCTACCAGTATCTAAGGCAGCTTGAGGTGGGCAGGCATTCAGGTTTGGGTTGCATAAGTAGCTTAGAACTCAGGACCTGGGAAGGAAATGAGCTCTACTTGTTAACCTATAAATCTCACCAATAGGTTTTGCAGTCCATCAGCCCACATTTCTTAGATGGGAGAGATATAAATGGACGAATGCGTGCCATCCTGGTGGACTGGCTGGTCCAAGTCCACTCCAAGTTTAGGCTTCTGCAGGAGACTCTGTACATGTGCATTGCCATCATGGACCGGTTCTTACAGGTGAGTGCAGCCAGAGTGGGGCACCAGTGGCTCTGTAAACATTGCTTTGATGCTGCTGAGATGGAAAGCTAAGCTGGGCTCCTCTGAAGGAAAAGACTAGAAGCCAAGCTGCCAGATGATTTCAGTTGCTAAAGTGGAGAGTGGACCAAAGGTATCAAGAGTTGATGCTGCTACCAGCTCAGGGCAATACTGTTAGCCTACAAGAAACAGCCAAAGGAAGGACACACTCAGTATTCCTCACCTGGAGTGCTTGATACCAGAATCTTTTATTTTATTCATAAACATAATGAAAATATGGGCCATAAGTATAAACCTGAGGTCATCGTGTTTGATATGTACCTTCCATTGCTAGCCTGAAGGTAATTTTACACACTAATTTTAGCACACTTATGTTTTGACTGCAACTTACACCTGGGACAGGTGTAGCATTTTTCACATTTGGTGTCGTGTCAACATTCAAAACATTTTTGGATTTTGGAGCATTTCAGGTTTGGGTATTTTGGGTTTTGGATATGCAGCGTGTCCTGCACAGCCACTATCATTTATCAGAGGAAGCAGACCATCAAGTGGTGTAAAAGCCAGTCCTCTTGCCTTTGGATGCTGGTGTTTCAGCCCTGCCTGCACCATTTCCAAGGTCTGGTGCTCCTGATCATTCATTTTCCTTGTCTAGAAAATGAGGAGCTGGGCAAGAGGATCTTGGTCTCCAACTAGCTGTGGCAATAAATCACAGAAATATGAAAGAGGGGGCAGAGTTGTAAAAATAAAGACCAGGGGTAAGCATGTGGAGCTGAGACTCTGGAATGTGAGCAGGAGAAAGTGAGCTGAGAGCAGCAGCCAGCTTTGAAATCCTGATCAGCTGCTAATGCACAAGACATTAAACAGAGGAGAAGCCAGATGTATCCCTCCACTAAAAAACCACGGGGCTGGAGAGATAGCTCTGTTAAAAGCACTGGTTGCTCTTGCAGAAGACCTGGGTTCAAATCCCAGAACCCAAATGGCAACTAAGAACAGTCTATAACTTCAGTTCTAGGGGATCCAATGCCCTCTTCTGTCCTCCAAGGGCACTGCACAGTACAGGTGCACTTACATGCAGGCATAACACTCATACACATAAAATAAAAATAAATAAAAATATTCACTGCTGGGGATTGACCCCAGGGGCCTTGAGCATGCTGGGCAAGGGCTGAACCACTAAGCTTATTCACAAACCTGAAGTTTTGGGATAATAAACTGCTGGTGTGTTGTCCACCACAGGAACCTTGCAGATGAGGACTGATTAATTTAAATGTTATCATTCTGGGGCTGAAGAGATGGCTCAGTAGTTAAGAACACTGGTTGTTCTTGCAGAAGACCCGGGTTCGAATCCCAGCTCCCACATGGCAGCTAACAATTGTCTGTGACTCCAGTCCCAGGGGATCCAACAGCCTCTTCTGTCCTCCACGGGCACTGCACGACACGGGTGCACTTACCTACATGCAGGCAATACACGCATACACATAAAATAAAAATAACAAATAAAAATGTTAGCTAAAATTTAAAAAAAAAATAATGTTAGCATTCTGCCCCCAGTGTATATTAATTATTACTTATGATAATGGCCCAGGGGCACATTAGAATCTTAAGTAGTAGATCCTGTGATTCAGTCTAAAATCCTCACTAGGCAAGAAAGGGCAGTAGTAGTTTCTGTAGACTTTCAGGATTGAAGGCTGAAGCAAGAAGAGCAGAGTCCCAGTTTAAAAAGAAAAACTTAAAAAAAGATTATGGGCAGGAGGGAATACACAGTTCACAGTGCACTTTGGAGATTGGAGGACAACTTATGGGAGTTGGTTCTCTCTCTCCACCATATGGATTCCAGGTTTTAAACTCAGGTCATCAGGCTTGGTGGCAAGTACCTTTGCCCTAGAGCCAACTTGCTGCCCCTCCCTACCTCTTTTTTTTCTTAAGGAAATTTAAAGCACACACTTAAACACTACACTGAAAGTTTTTCCCTAACTCTGAATCATTGATTTTTTTTAAAAAAAATTTAAATATTTTTGTGTGTTTTATAATTTTTTCTTTAATTGAGGGGTTTTTCAAGCTGGTTAATGGGTGTACTTCTGGTGAGGATTAGGGAAAGATTTTGACGAGCCATTCAATTCTGTTTTTAACTCGGCTTCATCTCTGTTCAAACCAAACCATACTACGTGCAGGTTATGGCTGCTGCACTCAGGTCAGCAGAGTAAGAGTAACCCACAGAGCTCGCTTGTCAGGTTTGGATTCCTCCCTACTCCAAAACTCAGTGATGTTTGGTCTTACTTGAATCTCTTGTCCAGTCATCCTTTTGTAACTGACAATAAAAATATGTCCTTTACAGGGTTTCTTTGAGGACCAAATGAGGTAGGATGTTGGACTCTCAGCACTGGGACTGACTTGGTCACTCTAGTCGCAGCAGTATGCTTTGTGATGGTTCGCCACACAGGTCTCCTGTGCTCTGCAGGGGGCCACCATCTAGTCAACAGGGCTTGGTTTCTTCAAGCTTTCCACCCAGAACCCTACCCTATTCCAATCTTGTCTTTGCCTTTGGATGCATTTGTTTTCAATTAGGTCCAGCCAGTCTGTCGGAAGAAGCTTCAGCTGGTAGGGATCACAGCTTTGCTCTTGGCTTCCAAATATGAGGAGATGTTTTCTCCAAATATCGAAGACTTCGTTTATATCACAGACAACGCTTATACCAGTTCCCAAATCCGAGAAATGGAGACTCTAATTTTGAAAGAGCTGAAATTTGAGTTGGGCCGACCTTTGCCACTACACTTCTTAAGGCGAGCTTCAAAAGCCGGGGAGGTGAGTGCCTCCAACTGGGTAAGGAATTTGACTTTTGCTTGATCTTGCTCTTAAACATGACCTAATTAAGGGAAAGCTTCCTTTAGGCAGGTTTTGATGCTGAACTCTGGACTTCATAAAAGGCCTCAGGTTCTATGGCACACAGTGGGGCAGGGTAGTTCTTGAGAAGGGTGGGAATGCCTAGACCTGGTCCCAGAGTTTGTGGAGATGAACACAACTCTGCTCCCTGTCCCTGGCTGTTCTAGGTTGATGTGGAGCAGCACACGTTAGCCAAGTATCTGATGGAATTGACTCTAATCGACTATGACATGGTGCATTATCACCCTTCTCATGTAGCAGCAGCCGCTTCCTGCCTGTCTCAGAAGGTGCTGGGCCAAGGGAAATGGGTGAGTGATGGATTTAAGAAAAGATGAGGCTGAATTCTAAGTCCTCACAGTGTGAAAGGCTATAGTATTTTCACAACACTGCTCTTGAAGTAATGGTTAAAAGGTCAAAGACTTAGCTGGGCATGGTGGCGCATGCCTTTAGTCCCAGCACTCGGGAGGCAGAGGCAGGCGGATCACTGTGAGTTCAAGGCCAGCCTGGTCTACATAGTGAGTTCAGGTCAGCTGTGACTACAGGGAGACCCTACCTCAAAAAGACAAAAACAAACAAAAAAGGTCAAAGACCTAAAAGCAAGCAGCTAGGATCAGTTCAGACAGACTCATATACTGAGTATGCCACATTCCACAGATGGAGAGGTGGAACAAGGAAGGCCAAGCTCTCATAGGCCAGAATCATTGGACGTTTGGTTAGGTGAAGCCAGTAGTCAGGCAAGGCCAAAGCCAAGGCCTGATTTAGCCCATAAGATAGAAATCACCTGGGTGCGATGGCGCATGCCTATTATCCTGGCACTTGGAAAGCTGAGGCTGGAGGACTGAGAATTTGAGGCCAATGTGTGCTAGCTACATAGTGAGTTTAAGGCCACCCTGGGCTATATAGTGAGACCTTGCCTCATCAAAACAGCAAGAAAGAAAAAAGAAAATAGAAGGAGCCCACTTTTGGATTTAGACGAGTAGCTAAAGATGCCAGCACCTGCTCCTGTCTCTCACCTAAAAGGCAGACAGACTAAAGGAGCTGATGTGTGCAGTGTGAGTCTCGGGCTACATTATTGTATAGGAGTCGGTTCTAGAATACTGCTAAGCAGCGCTGTAGTTGGCAGATTGGAAAGCCTTATCACATCCAGGAAGTGGAAGTTGGCTCATGACAGCTCCCAGGGGCGATTGCAGGGGGAATAGGAGAAGACTTAGAGGCAGCCCTCCCCCAAGCTGCCGCCTTCCTCCTGTAGAAGGATCACAACACTTTCTGCCAGCGTAAGTCAGCTACAAGCAAAGCCTTGGCCTTTGGGGTCTGTCTGTATGTGCTGGTCACCAGGACAGTGTGGTGGAGCCATTCCCCACATACCACACAGGTGTGTTTACCTTAGAAAGAGTGTGTACATCCAATATGTTTATGTAACCAGAAAGTTAATGGAAAAGGATACTATGGAGTTCTGTGGGCACAGGATAGAAGATTGAGTCACAGGACTCATATAATAGAAAGTTGTTTTTTGACTCTGTGAGAGAGAGAGACAGAGACAGAGACAGAGACAGACAGAATGTTTCACTATGGCCCAGGCTGTCAAGGGCACCCTGGGCTATATAGTGAGACCTTGCCTCAAGGTCCTTCTGCCTTAGCCTCTCCCAAGTGCCCAGAGTACAGGGATATGCCACTGTCTGACCTTTCTCGACTTTTGAACAATATAATTTAAAAGTTTTATCTTTTTTTTTTTTTAACTCAAGGACCTTTTGCCTTAGCCTCTCCCAAGTGCCCAGAGTACAGGGATATGCCACTGTCTGACCTTTCTCGACTTTTGAACAATATAATTTAAAAATTTTATCTTTTTTTTTGGTCTTGAGACAGGGTCTCCCTGTAGCCCCAGTTGGCCTGGAAGTTGCTATGTAGACCAGGCTGGCCTTGAACTCACAGAGATCTGCCTGCCTCTTGCGTCTCTGAGTGGTGCGATTAAAATGTGTCCCACCACACCCGCCTAGAAAATTTTTTTAAAACTACATTTTTTTATTTTGTGTGTATACCACAGCACCCATGTGGAGGTCAGAGGACAGGTTGTGGTATTGGGTTTTCTTCTGCCACCATGTGGGTTCCTAAGATTGAAGTCTGGATCAAATTCAGGTCATCAGGCTTGGCAGCAAGCCAAGGACCTTTACCTGCTGGCCCTAGAACAGTGTAAATGTTCTAAGCAAATGATGGGGTTCTATGGAAATAAAGAATGTAACTATCAAATTGGGTCAAAACCACAAAAATTCACATAACCTGAGGATAACATTCTGACTGTATCCTTAGCAGGATGTGCTGTTAGACTGAACAGTGATAAATAGTAATAATATATCCATAGCAGGCTTACCATTCACAATAATGTGTTCTGAAACTTATGTATATTATAGGATAAAGCGAATATATTCACTTTTTTGTTTTTTTGAAACAGACTCTTGCTTTGTAGCCTTGGCTGACCTGGAATTTGCTATTTAGACCAGGCTGGTCTGGAACTTGGATATCTGCTTGCCTCTGCTTCCTGAGTGGTAGAGTTAAAGCTGTGCACCACCATACCTGGCTTCACACTCATGGTTTTGTGGGGTTTTTGGTCTTTTTTTGAGACAGGGTCTCCGTGTAGCCCCAGCTGTCTGGGAATTCACTATGTAGACCAGGCTGGCCTTGAACTCACAGAGATCCGCCTGCCTCTGCCTCCCGAGTGCTGGGATTAAAGGCATGTGCCACCATGCCCAGCTCACACTCATGTTTTTAGGGTCTGAATTTTCACTATGTGAAGAAAGAAGTAAAATATTAACAATGAAAATTCCTAGAATGTTAGATCTGGTTTGGAACTATTAGTAAATTCATAGTAAAAAGGCTTGGGGACAATGAGAGCTCAGCAGTGCATATGCTAGAGTCCACAGAGGCAAGTGCAGGAGCTCCAGCTCATTAGAGAAACCTGGTCTGGGGCCATGTTGGGCAGGATGTGATGATGCTGACAGAGAGCAAGTGAGGCTTGCGTGGCTAGGCGTGGTGGCACATGCCTTTAATCCCAGCACTTGGGAGGCAGAGGCAGGTAGATCTCTGAGTTCAAGGCCAGCCTGATCTACATAGTGAGTTCCAAGCCAGCTAGGGCTACAGAGAGAGACCCTGTCTCAAAAGGAAAAAAAAAAAAAAAAAAAAAGCCAACAGGATAGGCTGGAGAGATGACTCAGTGGTTAAGAATACTGTTTTTGCAGAAGACCCAGGTTTGAATCCCAGCTCCCACATGGCAGCTAACAACTGTCCGTAACTCCAGTTCCAGGGGATCTGACAGCCTCTTCTGTCCTCCGCGGGCATTACACAACATGGGTGCACTTACCTACATGTAGGCAAGACATGCATACACATAAAATAAATAAAAAGGCTGAGAACTAATTTGATTGAATGGGCTGTCTGAATACATGAGAGCATTAAGAAAAAAAAGTATTGAGAACCAGGTGGAGTAGCCCACAGCGCTAATCCTCGCACTGGAAACTAAGGCAGGAAGATCGCTTCAGCTTAGCAAGTTGAGACCAGCCCCTGTGTGGCAAGACGAGATTCATCACAAAGAAGGAAAGGCTGGAGAGAAGCAGTTGAGTTGAATACTGCCTTTGCAGGGGAACCTGAATTTAGTGCCTGGCACCCATGTTGGGCAGCTCATAATCGCCTGTAACTCCAGCTCCAGGGGATCTGATGCCTCTTCTGGACTCCTGGCACCTGTACCCATGTGTACATATCCACACCTGTGCGCATACATACACATAATTAAAAATAATAGAAGTAAGGCTGGAGAGCTGGCACAGCCATTAAAGTCTCAGGCTCACAACAAAAAAGAAGTCAATCTTTAAAAAAAAAGAATGACTATAGTAAAAGGGAGTGCTCCATGGACCTACAAGTTTATGATGTTAGAAAGGGAAGATCCTTTTTTTAAATTTATTTATTTTTCTAATCTTTTTGAGACAGGGTCTCTCTGTAATCCCAGCTGACCTGAACTTACTATGTAGACCAGGCTGGCCTTGAACTCACAGAGATCCACCTGCCTCTGCCTCCTGATTGCTGGGACTAAAGGCGTGCACCACCGCGCCTGGCTTCCTTTTTTATTTTTAATTTTGTTTTTTAATTTTATGTGTATGAGTGTAATGCCTGCATGTAGGTGGGTGCACCTGTGTAGTGCAATGTCCATGGAGGTCAGGAGAAGGCATCCAATCCCCTGACACTGGAGTTACAGATGGTTGTTAGCCACCATGTGGGTGCTGGGAACTGAACCTAGGTCCTCTGCAAGAGCAGCCAGTGCTCTACCGCTGAACCATCTCTTCAGTCTGTTTAATTTTAAGTTATTGTTTGCTGTTATATTGAGCTACATCTCTGTTCCCTCCCCCTTAAAATCAGAGTAACAGCTAATTAAAACTGTTTGAAGAGTCAGTCTTGCTGTGTTGCTCATGTGTTCTCAGACTCCTGGGCTCATGGAACCGCATGATTTATCCTTGCAAGTAGCTGGAACTTCAGCACACACCACTCTGTGGCTTAAAACCCACCATTGTTAAGTCCTAAAGGAGCAAGGATCAGAAATGAATGTGAAAATCATTAGATGAACTAATTTGAGAGAACACGGTTCATGAGGTCTCAAAATAGTATTCCACAGACAGTTCTGATCCTGAAGTAAAGCAGAGCCTTTGTGGTGGTGTTCTAGGGGCTACCAGCTGATCACAGTGATTATCCCAGTGCCACCAGCAGCAGTGGCCCCAGCTGACGTGCTGTGCTTTCTGTGCATTAAGAATGTGTGTCACTACATAATGGGGATATAGCTCAGCAGAGTGTTCTAGCACATTAGAAGCCCTAGATTTGATCCCCAGCACCTCATAAATCTTTTGTGCATGCCTAAAATCCCAGCACCCAGGTCATTTTTGGCTAGCAAGTTCAAGGTCAGCATAGGATACATGAGACCCTACATAAAATATTTTTTTTTAAAAAAAAAAGATGTATTATCAACAGGTTTGAGACAGATTCAGTTACAAAAGACAGAATAAGAGGCATTCTAAAACTAACTTGCCTGTATGCTTCTAAAGCTAAGAAAATAGAGGTTGTTTAAAAGATGAAAGATATAGTAATATAATTGTACTGCATGAACCTTAATTAGAATCTGGATCTAAATCTTTAAAAGACATTTTAAAAATAATTGGAGAAATGTGAGTACTGATGCTATATTAGCTGGCGTTACAGACTTAATGTTTGTTCGAGAACAGTGCCGTGGGTGAGTAGGACAGGTTGGTCCTGAAACAGCAGTTGCCAGGTGTGGTCACACATGCCTGTGGTCCCAGCACTAGGGAGGGTCAGCTGTTATAGTTCATTCAGCCACAGCTACCACATTTAAGGCCTGTATGAGACTGCCCCCCCCATATATTCTTTTTCTTAAAATTTTAAAAAAATTTTTATTTTCTGTGTATGAGTGTGATGTCTGCATGTGTGTAAATGTACCTGTGTCAGGCAGTGCTCTTGGAGGACAAAAGAGGGCACTGGATCCCTTAGAACTGGAGTTAGGGATGGTTGTTAGCCGCCATGTGGATGCTGGGATACCAACCTCAGCCCCAACATGCAGTGCCTGTGGAGGTCACGAGAGGGCATTGGATCCACTGGAACTGTAGTTATGAACGGTTGTAACTGCCATGCAGGTGCTGGGAGTTGAACCCAGGTCCTCTGCAAGAGCAGCCAGTGCTCTTAACTGCTGAGCCATATCTCTAGCCCCATAAATTTGAAAGTTTTGAAATTTAAAAATCTGAAGCAAAAAAGTCACCAATCGCAATGCCTCATTTTGGCTAAATTACTGTTAAATATGCTTTGTAGGACTCTAATCCTGTTAGCGTTCAGCCTCCTCATGCTCTGAGCATTGGTTTTACACTAAGTAGTAATATGTATTTCGGTATTTTCCTGCTGTTCTTTCCTCAAACTATTTTACTGTTAAGATGAAGCTGTGAATTACTTGTTATGCTGTGCACATGAAAGGGCTTGGTTAGTGTGTAGAATATTGCCTCTCTCTCTTCATACATACTGAGTCTGATTAGCTATCAGCAGCTAGTTTTCTGCTTAAATTCTTTTGGGGGAAAGGTCAGAAGGTGGGATGTGGTTGCTTCTATGAGTTCTCTGTTCTTTGATGAGAACCCTGGATAGTCTTGGTTCTTCTGGGTTTGGTAGATTGCTGCCTATAGGACAGCTACTTTTTGTTATTTTTGATTGTTTTGATACAGGCCTTGGTTGGCCTGGAAATTATTGTAGACCAGACTGACCTGGCTCTCACAGAGATCCTTCTGCTTTTGCCTCCTAAGTGCTGAGATTAAAGGCGTGTGCCACCATGTCCAGCTGGCTATAACTAAGCCAGACATGGTGGCGCACGCCTTTAATCCCAGCACCCAGGAGGTAGAGGCAGGCAGATTGCTGAGTTTGAGGCCAGCCTGGTCTACATAGTGAGTACCAGGTCAGCTGAGGGTACAGGGAGACCCTGTCTCAAAAAGACAAAAAAATTATTTTATGGATATATGTGTATTACCTGCATGTAAGTGCACCTGTGTTGTGCAATGACCGGGAAGGTCAGAAGAGGGTGTCAGATTCCTCTGCAATTGGAGTTATGGACAGTTGTTAGCTGCCATGTTGGTGCTGGGAATTGAACCCAGGTCTTCTGCAAGAGCAGCCAGTGCTCTTAACTGCTGAGCCATCTCTCCAGCCCCAAAGATATTTCAACATAAGCTTAAGCATGAGTGTCAAGAGAAAAAAATTTTGAGTGTGTGTGTCTGTGTGTCTGTGTGTGTCTGTGTCTGAAGGACAACCTTGGTGTCATCCTCAGAATCACATCTATCTTTTTGAGACAGGGTCTCTCATTGGCCTGGAGTTCACCAATTAGGGTAGCTTAGCCAAGTGAGCCCTAGGGATCCTCCTGTCTCTGCCTCCCACCCAGTTCTGGGATTACACGTTTGCTTTCATGCCCAGCATTTTTACATGGCTTCTGGGAGTCAAAGTCAGGGTCCTGGTGCTTGCAAGGCCAGTACTTCACTGACTGAGCCAGTCCCTCAGCCCACACAGCTGCTTCCTAATGAGCAACACAGCAGCTGTGCTGCCCTGGTGGAGTGGTGGGAGGGAGGAAGCATGGAAGAGGGCACTGTTCAGTGTGGTCTGGTTTTCAGGCTGCCTTGTTTTCCTTCTCCTTCCAGCATGGGGTGGAAGTATCCTTGGCAGCTTTGTTCCTTAAAGCCACACCTGGGCGGCTGCTTTCAAATGCAATGATCTGTTAGCATTAAGAGCCTATTACTGTCTTAAGTTAGTCCTGTCTCAGGGCCACAACCATTCTGTGTTTGCTGGCTGCTCTAGCTCTTCGGGTGCTGTGGAAGTGGTTAGACTATCATTGGGTTTCACATGGTAAGAATTTTCTCACAGCTTTTTGTTTTGTTTTGTTTTTGTATTCTGGTGGTGGGTTTTGAACCCAGGGCCTCACCCATACTGGTTAGGTGCTATCTATATCTTACAGAACTCTATCTCCAGCTGTCTTTCTGTATTTTATTTGTGAGCCAGGATCTCACTGAGGTGCTCAGGCAGGCCTTAGGCCTCCCTGGTAGCTGGAATTGCAGGTCTGCACCACCTAGCCTGGCACCCTCACACATTTTACAGTGTTGTCAGCGTGTGTAAGATGCACTCCTCTGAAGAGATGGAGGCTTTCTCTTGCTCTTCAGTCACACTTCCCTTCTGTTCACCTTGTGTTTCAGAATTTAAAGCAGCAGTATTACACGGGCTACACAGAAAAGGAAGTACTGGAAGTCATGCAGCACATGGCCAAAAACGTGGTGAAAGTCAATGAAAACCTGACAAAATTCATCGTAAGTCCTGGTGCTTAAACCCTGGAAAGCATGAGATTATGGGCTTTGTGTGTATTTACATTTACATATGCGTGCGTTACTGCTCATGCAGAAGTCTTATTTTAGCATAGCTGATTTTCTCATACAGCAAAGGATGGAGCATACTGATAAACCCTGAAAGCAGACTTTCTTTGAAACTGATAGGTTAACCTTAACTAGCTGTGCCCAGTGTATGGCCGTCTGGCCAGCGCATGTGCACCCCATTCCCCAACCAGGGTCCTGAATAGGGTACTCAGGGTAAGCAGAGAAGGCTGCTTCTGGTGGGGTTGTGAGGAGGGCCTGTCCTGGTGGCTGGAGGTAGGTGTGGAGGCTGCGCATTTAGGTGATGCTATTTGGGACCTGCCTCAGGTCTTTTGAAGGGCACTTAGTGAGCAAGCATGGAGCTGGGCAGGGGGAAGAGACTCATTGAGGAGCTTCCTGTGGTGGGTGTCTGTCAGGAAGCCGCCTGGGAGGAAGAGTCTTAGTCTGTGCCTGTGAGACACAAAGTATCAGAGCTTCCTGAAGGCCTGGTCCTAAAGCAAGGTGTTGGTATCACAGAGAAGCCGTGTGTCTTCACAGCATGGTGTGCTTGCTCACACGCAGTTTCAGTGTGACTGCATGCTGTGGAAGCTCGTGGCTTTCATTTCCAGTGGCATTGTCTGGGACCTGCAAAGCACTAGTTGCCACTCGCTTTCATTGCAAGTTCTTGCTGCCGGTCCTGATGGCACTCATGTTTGACAGAGTCCTCACCCCCATCTCCCATAACTCAGGAGAGAAAGCCTGTTCCTCAGACCTTGGAATTGTTTCTCTCCTGTGGCCTGTGTGCCCAGCAGGACTGGAGGGAGGTGGCCCTGTGCAGTAAGTTCTAAGGCAGAGTGTCCTGGCCAACTTCAGTGACTGTGTGTCATCATCTGGAGATGGTAGCTATAGCCCTTTGATACCTGTGAGTTAGTCTGAGTATGAGGTGGAGGTCCTGACCTGCCTAATCCCACATGCCTTCTGCAGGCCGTCAAGAATAAGTATGCCAGCAGCAAACTCCTGAAGATCAGCACAATCCCTCAGCTGAACTCCAAAGCCATCAAAGACCTTGCCTCCCCTTTGATGGGTAGGACCTAGGCAGCCTGGCTCCTTCCTGCACTTTTTCTTGCTGTCTTGGAACTCCTTGATTTTGTACATATTCCTCTAGTCTATTTAGCAAAACCTCTTCTCAGACTAATTTTCTAAATGTGTATTGAGGAAAAATAAAGCTATTGATTTTCTTAAAGGTATTGATTTTCTTACGGTATCCTGTGTGTGTTTGTATAGTCTGTACTGAAGAAATGAATGGATGCTTGCTTTGATGGGGCTTATTTTTGAAGTATTATGAATAGCATTCTCATAAAATCATTAGCCTTTATGGCTTTGGGAAACACCTACCGTTTCTCTCATAGAACTAAGCTTGGCTCCAGTGAACACCATTCCTAAACTCCTGGATATGAGTACATTGATTCAACATAGACTTTCAAAATGTGGGGCTAGGGAGATGGCTCAGTTGCTAAAGTGCTTGAGCAAGCATGAGGACATGAGTTCAATCTCCAGAACCCACATGAAAAGCACTGGGGAGATGAAACACATGCAGGTCCTAGTAAGAGACCCTGTCCCCCCAAATAAGGTGACAGTTCCTGAGGAATATCTCCTGAGGTTGACCTCTGGCCTCCACATGTATGTGCACATGAACATATAAACACACACACATAAACACATTTAAAAGGAGTGCATGACCATGATTATTTCCCTTTTGGTCCTTCCTCACCTCTTCTTTCATCCTTGCATAGAAACAGCTGGCTCAGTAGGGCAAAGGCCACCACAGAGTCGCTCATAATGGGTCTCAAAGGCTGGGTGAAGCCAAAATGAGTTGTCCTGGGTCAGGGGTCACCAATGCATGAAAGAAGTCTGTGATAGCCCCTTAGGGTTGAAATTGGAATGGGTTTTCCTTTGCTGTTATAGTTGTATATAGGTTGAGCACTTAATCACTTATCACGTCCTTTTGAGTGCTGAGATGGAACCCCAAGCCTGGCACATGCTCAGTGAGAACCTCTGATCTATACCCCCAGCCGCTTTTCACATTGCTTTTTTCATGGGAAATATGTCCTTAGTCTTCAACCATTTATGTAAAGCAAAGGGAGTCTTTCGTAGCAACCACTTTCCAACATCTTAACCCAAGATGTTAATTGGTGTTTTGGGGAAAGGAGTCAAATCTGAAAAACATTGCAAAGTTTGCCAAGGCTCTGAGCTTTGCAGTAGTGTCATTTAATTTGGAATCTTCCCTACCAAGGGTGTGCTGAGAGCTGCCTCCTGTATAGCAAAACCCCACTGTGGCCTCTGGCTGTGCTTAACATCCCTGGCCCATGAGGACCTGGCTCCAGTTATGGCTGGCATCTCACCTTCCTTGAGCAGGTCAGGGCTGCCTTAGGAGGACATCTATAAATCTCCAGCATTTCGTGGCATTGGGCATCTTTAGGTTTGAAATTCTATTATGGAGTTTTATTAATAGCTCGTTAGTGAAACTTGTTCCCATGTGTTTTAGTTTGTCTCTCCATTGCTGTGACTAAACACTCTGACCACTACCGACCTAGGGAGGAAAGGGTTTATTTGCCTTACATCTCCCAGGTCGCAGTTCATCAGGGAGCCCAAGGTAGGAATTCAGGGCAGGAACCTGGAGGCAGGAGCTGGAGCACAGGCCATGGAGGAACACTGCTTACTGGCTTGCTCCCCTGGCGCCTGCTCAGCCTGCTTTCTTATGCAACACAGGCCCACCTGCCCAGGGGTGGCACCACCCACAGTAGGCTGGGCTCTCCCACATCACTCATCAAGAAGATGCCCTTCAGAAATGGCCACAGGCCATTTCAGTGGAGGCAATTCCCCAATTGAGGCTCCTTGAACCCAGATGTGTCAAGTTGACACTAAAGCTATCCAGCGTACCATGGCAGCCCTGGACCAGCTTCATCAGAATGAATGGAAAGAGACCAGGGGAAGGGACCTTTACTAGTGCTGAAAGCACATAGCATCCTAGGGACACTTGAGCTCAGCTTCTCTCCAAGAGAGTATGTGTTTGCACATGAGTATGTGAGGAAGTCAGAGGAACACCTTGGATGTCATGAGAGGACAGGTTTTTAAAAAAATATTTTTATTTTTATGTATATAAGTGCACCCGTGTTGTACAATGCCTGTGGCCAGAAGGGGCTGAATTTCCTGGAACTAGAGTTACAGATGGTTGTTAGCCACAATGTGGGTTGCTGGGAATTGAACCTGGGTTCTCTGCAAGAGCAGCTGGTGCTCTTAACCACTGAGCCATCTCTCCAGCCCTGAGGACAGATTTTTGTAGTCATCCAAAGATGGTTACAGTGTCCTTGTTACACATTTATTTTATTCTGGGGAGATACGACTCAGGTTGAGAGCACTGGCTGCTCTTGCAGAGGACCTGGGTTTGATTCCCAGGTAGCTAACAACCATCTGTAACTCCAGTTCCAGGGGATTTGACGCCCTCTTCTGACCTCCTAGGGCACTGCCAACATGGATGTACCTGCCTACATGTAGGCAATAGACTCATAAAAATATTTTTAAAAATTTTACTCTGGGGTGGAGCAATGGCTCAGTGGTTAAGAGTACTGACTGCTCTTGCAGAGGACCTGGGCTCGATTCCCAGCACCAACATAGTGGCTACAAACTGTCCTTAACTCTAGTTCCAGGGGAATCTGAAGCCCTCTTCTGACCTCCACGGCATTGCACAACACTCACGTATGTGTAGGCAATACACTTATACACATAAAACTAATAAATATTTTAAAAATAAAAAAAATTTTTACTCTAATTTTCTGCACATAAGTGTATTGCCTGCATGTATGTAAGAGCACCCACGTTGTATGAAGCCTGTGGAGGTCAGAAGAGGGTATTATAGACAATTTGACAGCTATTTATAGCCCCTGTTAAATATTTTTCTTCTTTTTCTTCTTCTTTTTTTTTTTTTTTTTTTTTTTTTTTTTTTCAGTAGCCCCAGCTGTCCCAGAATGAGGTTTTTCTAAAGGAGA